GGGAGAATGAGAAGGAAAGAATGGGATGCATATAATAGAATAGACAACTAGGAGGATATAATATAGAAGGCTGTCCTAACAAGAAAACAAATTATAGCAACATACAAGAGCACCAAACACATAGCACACATAGGACGTAGGGGACCTCTAGCCAATGTCACCTAATAAATAAGGGGAATGATCCCAATAAGGAAAATGAAGCCTTATTGGAGGAATGGACCTTTAGAAAACACTAGGGAAAAAAATATCCCGTCAAAAAATTTCAAAATTAAACTTTTTGATCAAATTGTATAAATAAAACATAGCTACATAGGGTGGAAACAAAAACATAAACTTTTCAGATATTTTTTTTTCTGTTAAGTAGGTGGGGGCGTTTGTCTGGTGCCCCTTCCCAGGTCAAGAAACATGTTTACGTTCTAAATAAACACTTACGAAATTAAAGAAACATATTTACGTTCTAAATAAACATTTTTTTGAAAGTCAAGAAACATATTTACGTTCTAAATAAACAGACTTTTGAAAACATCAGTTCACGTGAACAATAATCATCACCACAATAAAACACATTGATACAAAAATAAATAAAAAGAATTCAAAACTTACACACAAGTAATTAAAATTCAGGGTCGTAACACATGGCGTTCACCTCAAAGCGGTTATGGTCAGTAAATTAATATTTGCTTTCTCATGACAGCGTTGTGATGCTGTGGTCAATTCTAAATGAGCTGTAGATTCTGGCCTTTCAAGTTTAACACTGAAATGAAGAAAAGGTCGAAGTGACCCTTCGCAAAGACCTTGCTGGCTTGAATGTAATAAAATTTTAATGCACAATGAATTCAATTTTAAGGTTCCATACTTATTCAATATTCGACACATTGCAATCGGCAACAGTCAGGTTGAAATTTAAAAATACATTTGACAAATTAAAATGCAGCGAATATATCTCAGATTATCCTACTAATATTATAGTATCCTGCTGAGAGTCAGATCATCCTACTAAGAGTCCAATTTAACGAATTCATGTCATTTCCTCTAATAAAGAAAAAAAAACAAATGTAAATAATTGAATGTGCAAAGTTTCAAACTTACGAATTTTATATTCATTTTTAATTATCTCAACGTGTAAGGATGCAAATTTATCTCAATATATGAAGAGCACATTAATTTGGGTAGGTGGACGATTAATTAGAGTTATAGGGACCAGCGCGTGTGAAAAAATAATAATGCACGGATTGGTAATGGCTATGTCAGGAGAGAAATGATTCTTAAGCATACGTTTATTTAACAAGACAGACAGGCCGGTAAGATAAGTTTAAATTTCGATCTTTATCGGAATTGTCAGAATTGAAATTTTACAGAATCAGTATTTGATAACCTGAGTTTATCAGGCGGACTGGGGCCCCGAGTGGCCGAGTGGTCTAAAGCGCTGTCCGTTACAGATCACTGCCATCTCACCTCTGTCTGCGTGGGTTCGAGTCTAGGATTCGACAAATGTGGATATGTGAGAAAGCTTGCCAGTAGCTTCTCGTGGGTCGGTGGTTCTTTCCGGTGATTTCCCGGTTTCTTCCTCCACCATTAATACTGGCCGCTATGAATAGCCTATCGTGTGCTGAAAAATGGCGTTAAACCCAACAACAACAACAACAACAACAACATTATCAGGCGGACTATAATTTGGCGCCAAGGTTAAGGTGGGCGAGATATTTAATTCGGATTTGTTACGCCTGATAAGAGTCTTGATTCCCACTAAAATCTGGGGTTTAATATGTCCCACCGAAAAATGTTTATTCATTCAAGGCTTTTCTGAAAAAGAAAACAAATACAAGAGACTCCTGGTAGAATTTAGAACACATTCACTTGCAAATAATTATCAACCTTCATACAGGTAATCGGAAATAATCCGATTATAAAGCTAGGCAAGGTAATGACATCGATCGTTAACTCAATTCTATGATGAACTAATTATATCACTTAAACAGATAGGCAATTTTTATAAGTATATTTGTGCTTGGAATTCGATGAATGGTTTATTTACAAAAGAAGTTATCTTCCTAAAGTAATCCATTATTACGATTGTTTATGAAATTTATTATATTGTTATTTTTATGTACGGAGGCTCGTGTCATTCTGTTTTATTTAATATCTGCTCAGATAAACAGTGCGACAGGAAGACGGATGGGCATGACCAATCACTATATATAATGGAAATAACGGATATACAACATTGATTATGCGTGGCCTATCACTATGTATCATCGAAATTACGGATATACAACATTGATTATGCATGGCCTATCACTATGTGTCATCGAAATTACGGATATACAACATTGATTGTGCACGGTCATTCAATAATTCTCACTATGTATCATCGAATGATTATGCATGGCCTATCACTATGTATCATCGAAATTACGGATATACAACACTGATTATCCATGGCCTTTCACTACATATCATGGAAATTACGGATATACGACATTGATTGTGCACGGTCATTCAATAACTCTTACTATGTATCATGGAAATTACGGATATACAAAATTGATTATGCATGGCCTATCACTATGTATAATGGAAATTAGGGATATACAACATTGATTATGCATGGCCTATCATTACGTATCATGGGAATTACGGATATACAACATTGTTTATACATGGCCTATCACTATATGTCATGGAAATTACAGATATACAACATTGATTATGCATGGCCTATCACTTTGTATCATGGAAATTATCGGTGTACAACATTGATTATACATGCAGCAAGAGTACTGTTTGTTCCTTTTATAACATTTTCTTGAATTTTGATAAAACGTCTGACTCCACGATGTGACGAATGGTTCGAGATTTAATAAATGCTTGATATCACACGAGTAGTTGTTTAATACAGATTTTATGAAACAAGTAGAATAATGTATATGCCATGAACTAAAAGCAACTCGTTGCATGTTGAATAAATCAACAATCCATACATTTTAGTTGAAATAAACACAAGTTTAAGATTTTTTAATCACATCACGTTTACGACTCCACTAGTCAACTATGTTGCCACGTGACATTGCTAAGTCATTGTGAACAATTTTTATGATATGACGTCATGTTGCTAATGAAAGTAAAATGTTGGGTTTTTTAATAGTTTAAATTTATTGAATATTTTCACATGGACGTTTGTAATTTGTTTTTCAAATTGTTAAGAATAAACTATAATGTTTCATTCCTTTGCCAATTCAGGCTCATTACGGTTTTGTATGCATGTCATTATGAACGATGCACAAGTTTATGCTTTGCTTTTCAAAGAAACTGAAAATGGGCTCGATTAGCACTTATTAATGCATGAATTAAAAGCAAAATGTCATCCAAAAGCAGGAGCGAAATATGTTCATGTCAGCAATTAAGAAACTTGATGCAAACACTAAGTGTTGCCATTTCACACTGCAATAGGCGTTTTATTATTGAGATTAATCACTTACGGTTTGGTTAATATATTACAGGTAACCGGTCAAGTGATTTACTAACCGTTTGGAATATTTGATAGACGGGGAGTTTGGACGATTACAACTTTGAGTGGTAGACTAGTACTTGCATTCATTAATTCATGTACAACACTTCTAAATATAGTCACATTATTACTTTACTCTGTATTTAAGTTATCAAGACTTATTGACTATATTGCCGTTTAAGTTGAGGCTTTGCCGTGGTTCATTAGAAACAGGAAATCTCAGACTAGCAACAAAGTGTGGTATTGTTTGTTATTGATGTTAATGATAAACAGCGTCAGTTGTGCCCTCGCTAACGTATGATTTATTGATTAAAAACAGTAATAGTCCTTTTTCTGTGGATTCTGCGATTACACACCACCAACCACCCTCACTTCCTGAAATTACAAGTAACTAAAGACCAAGAGAAGAAATTTGTGACCTTAAAAATATTGCATGGCATATTATTGTAATTAGATGAAAGGGTTTAACTATTTCCGCTTCAGTCGTTCCGTTTATTTCATGCCTGATATCCTCCGGATCTTTGGAGTAGGCACTAAATTTGACAATATCATTACTATGCGCATACAAGAAATTATATTTCGTATATTTTTGTTGTTGTCCTAACTTGATATAACTCATATTAGATTTGCGAAGCAGTTTTTACTTCTCCGTTATCATAGCAACAAATATGGAATAAAATATTTCACATGTATTACATAATACATATTGCGCATCTGACTATCGGTTTATTTTCTTACCATAAGTAGTATTTCAAAGAGTAAGGTTGCTTACATTATACTATCATTTAAATATGCAAATTTATTGATATAACATATCATAAAGCCAACGTGTTAGAATACTGATTTTGATGTAAACGGCAATTATTTCCAAAATATTTACAATGACAAAAAGAGACATTAAATTCTGTGTGTGTGTGTGTGTGTGTGTGTGTGTGTGTGTGTGTGTGTGTGTGTGTGTGATGTTCCAACACCGCTTAGTATTTATTTTTCAGAAGAATCTATCGCAACATGTTTGCTGAGAAGTATTTATATGTATTGTCTAGTCAAATATTGAAACAATCTTTCAATGTTTATTTTTCCCTAAAAACCCTATGTTTCGTCTTTTGCAAATCCATAATCTAAGATTCGGCGAATGTGGATATGTGAAAGAGCTTACCAGTAGCTTCTCTTGGGTCGGTGGTTCTTTCCGGTGATTTCCCGGTTTCTTCCTCCACCATTAATACTGGCCGCCATGTATAGCATTTCCTGTGCTGAAAAATGGCGTTAAACCCCACAACAACAACAACATAATCGAACAATGCTCCAAAACTAACGATTGATTGGTGTTGCTTCTTTATATCATATCATGAGCAAAGGAAGTGTTATGAAGAACACCAAAGCTACAATTTTTAAAATGAATATATATATATATATATATATATATATATATATATAGTGAAGTAAGATTCTTCACATGCATTAAAAGGAGGAAAAAGTGCATGGACTGCGTCAGTGGTTCTTGTGGGGTTCGAACCCACAGAATTCAAGTGACAGTCGAAAGCTGGGAAAGCGAAGTAACCACTAGACTACGCCAGCACTAATAAAACTGCCTGAAGTTTACCTGTTAAAGCTGATATCATTATATACAACGCTATTAATACGCTACACGCATGAGAAAAGATCCACAGGAAAGTTGTAAGGGATATAACTCTTGTTCGTGATAGCAAAAGAAACATACTACACTCCCTTGCTTATGTGTGTCTCTGAAGGAATCAAGGTAATAATTCAGTTCTCATAGTAAACCTATGCAAACACCAGGATATTAAAAATTCAATAACTTAATATTTTTTAGTGCTCATGGCCAAACCTTTATTTAAAAGTATATATGAAACACGTGCTTTCAGTTCCGAACCAAAGAGTCAGGTGCTCGTTTTAGTAATGAGTGTTCCAAACTCAAGACTATTAATGGACTGAAATTCCATCAATAAAACACTTGTCTCTATTTCTATTCACTTTCAACTGGTATAAGGTCTCAAAAGAGTCTTTTTCCTAAAACATAACTTACATTATTAACCAATCTTGGTGACCCAAAAACTTATATAACTATTTAATGTTCACCCATTTCTAGGCTGGTGCCCATTTTCAATAGAATTAGAACGTGTGACCTGAAAGAGAGCAAATAGACCTACGGTGGTGTAGAGGAATGTGATAGGACCAGACCCAAATTTCAAGAAAACATCTGGTTTTCTTTATGAGCTTGAGATTTTAAAATCACTTTCTTATTGTTTGATTGGTAACAATAAGGTTGTTATTTGACAATTCAGTTGGTAAAAAGTATTAAAATGTTTCGAATATATCTCGTACTAACCAAATAATCTCAGATTATCCTGCTAAGATTCGGATTATCCGACAAAGAGTCAAATCTAACGAACTCCTCTTCATTTGTTATATTAAACAAAAGCCAAAATGAAATGTAAATATTTACTTGTACGAACGTGTAAATTTACAAATTGTTTTCATTCATTCATTTGATCTTCACGTTAGACAATCAATATTGACTGAAATACAAGAAAGATATACATGTAATGTAAACTATCGTTGGAGGCTACAACTTTCAACTTTCACAAATAAAAATCAGGGTTGTGTTACATTCATAGTAATGTATATTCTCTTGTTAAAAATCTGTTGCTCTAGTTTTCACTTTAGAAAATGTTTTTCACTATTTTTCGAAAAAGTACTGTTTTCAGTACATAGAAATAAAAAAACAATCTTTATAAATACAGTTTTCATTGTCAAAATACCCACCACCACCATCAAGAAAGCAGCGAACAACAAGAAGCAAAATAAATGCAATGCTTTGAGTTTGAGACCTGGGTATTATTTTACATCTGGATATATCTCTGAGAACTTTACAATATCGCCTTCCTTCAGCATGGCGACGAAATGGGAGCTAATTTACATTTCCCAAAGATACACTAAGGCATCCATCCCGGGCTTGCAATGGCGTGTAGCAAACCAGATATCCTTGATTTACTATTCTGACGCTCTACAAAAATTTTTTCCGGATCCCAAGGGTTTAAAAAGCAGTTTTATTTATTTATATGTGTGGATCTTTTTCACCAAATCTCTTATTTTATCAAATTGAGATCATTAAAGATATTGCGTGCATCTTTTTTGGCAGTAATTTCTGTCCACAACAGCCAGCATAAAGATTAAAATACATACCCTATGTTGTAAGTTCTTCTGCAAATTGTCTGTATAATTTCTTATGAATATTGGAGTACAGAATTAGAATATTTCTAAGTCGACAAAACCGTACAGTCCTTCTATCAATAGTACCATATCTACTTTTAACAAAAATCCAAATATTTTTAGAATGATATAAGCAAAATAATACAAAAAAAGGAAATGGGAGAGTAGTAGTAGTAGTATAACCGAGATAAATAAAGTGGTTCTTACAACCAGACATAAAATGTAGTCAACAGTTGTGGACTACTGATGCTGTAGAATTCTCGAGACTATCGCCATGCGAGCCAACAATTATTCTTTTGGTGTGATCTTTGCAATCTTGTTTTTTACCTAATTAGGTCTTAGGCTAATATGCATCTGGACTACGGCACATCAAAAATTAAATACAAATAGAGCAACAAAAAGTTGTCACTTGTATTGTCTTCCCTTCAATTATGCAAACCATATCATCTTGAAAGTATTTTAAAACAATAGCGTACGAGTAGCGACCTACAATGTAAAATTACATACACGATCGTTATTTTCTTTTTAGGGTGCGCTCTTTACATATTATGAACTTCTGAGAGAATGATAATAACCAATATGACTTCTCCCATGTGCTAAAAAATTAGCTCAAATTTTAATAAATTACGCTATCCTTCTCAGTAATAACAATACATTTTCCAGCTTAGACAATATCTGCTTCTGAAAGTGCCATGGATGTATTACCAAATACACAAACTGCAAAGAAGTTATTGGCTCTTTAGTTTTTTGGGGGGAGGTTACAAATTACCTCTGAAATCCATAAAGTGAAAATGACATCCGGAGAAAGCAGTTTTGGATAAGTACACATCTGAAGGCTGTGCGCATTACTTTCTAAACCGTACTACACCAATCAATCATACAACAAGAAAGGGAAATAAAAGTTATTTCAGCAATGCATAAGTTATGCAAGTTTTTTTTTTTTTTTTTTTTTTTTTTTTAAACATAGCTGGTATAAGCAGTAGGAAAACGAGGAAAATGCGTTTTCTTTAAAAATTTAACCGTATGCAAAATACAAAATTGTATAGCGACACCTTTAAACAAATATGAAAATGTGTGCTATTATTTTATATATTGTGTAAGATGTTCTGAATCAAATGTAACATTAACATTTATATTGTGTATTAAATTAAGCTAATTGTGCTTGTTTTGCTCTTGCTTGCCTAATTGCTTACATATGCCTTCTGGCCACAATGTGTGTGCAGTAACCTTAATTAAGGGGAAATTAGAAGTCGTAGAACACACGAGTAGTAAACTTAAACTGTTGCATTTAAAGCTGTTGCCCTAAGTGAAAATGTTTCTTTTAATTCATTTGTAATGAAATTATTAAACAAATTATGACAAAGCAAATTCGCTTTCTTTCATATTATAGTGTCAGAATAATAAACGTTAAACCTTTGGCCTTGGACTTCCATGATAATCTATTCAGTCTCTTGTCTTGCTGTAACTATTATCAACATATGAGGAATAATTGTGGCATGTTTTCCGTTCTTGTCTTTCAGCATAACATCGGTAGCTTTGTTGACAATGTAATGCGTATTTGTAAATTAGCTTATTTTTATAAACGGTAAGAGGCTGGGCGTGATTGGGACTACGATACTGAAAAATCCTGACTGTTCGGTAGCGAAACGTATCAAAATTATTCAAAAGGACTGTTCTTGCGACTTGAATGTTTCATCTACACTAGCAAATTAAGATCATTCAATGATAGTACAGATGCTATGGACTTCTGAATGATGGGTGTAATGTGAAGTTGTTTCATGTTCTGTGGGTGAAACTTCTATATTTTACTTTAGAATGTAGATGTTCTAACCAAACAGCTCAGTAAGATGAATGTTCTCTGCTCAAAAAATATCAGCCTGAATTAGTCTTACGTTTCTTGGTGATGTGTCGAATTTTAAATAAGTATTGAACCTTAAAATATAAATTATATAATAAACTTTTATTACAGTCAAGCCAGCAAGGTCTTTGTAAAAGGTAACTTCGACCGTTTCTTTATGTCTGTTTTAAACTTGAAAAACCAGCATCTGCGGCTCATTTAGAATACACTCTGGAATCACAACGCTGTCCTCAAAAAGTAAATAAAATCGCTTGAAAGGAACCTTGTATCAAATCATTTTCAAAGGAAAGTTAATATTGTTACGTATCGGCTCGTTCAAAGTAACAAGAAAGAGTGAAGACAACAAGCTTTGTAAATTTTAACAACTTATTTTCCTAGAAAACATGAAAAAATGTAAATATGTTTAAATAAGACTTACAGTTTACAGAAATCTAAATTGTTCAAAATAGAAACAAGTCCCTGTCCAAAATGGCGGATGACAAAAGTCAGTCGAAGGCTAACAGAAAATTTCAGAATTTACACAATAAAGCACTGTTTGCGTTGTTCCGTTTCAATTTATAATATTTTCGGGAAAATGTCTTGTCCAACTCAGTAATGTTGTTCTCCAGGAAAATAATTATTCAAAAGAACGATGTAAAAATAGCTTCTCTAAACAGACTTCTTCTAGCACAAAAATACCTTTGTTAAGGTAATAGAAGTTGTATAACTGACTTTACGACTGTTGACTCTCGACTACCACTGCCTGTCCGTGACTGTGTACGACTTACAAAAATCATAAATAAAGCTAATACGTAGTTTGAATTGCACGCGCACGAGGACACATGCAATTTCGTAATACTTATGGACATTAGGAAAGCCTGACCCAGTATCTGCCAATCGTTTTCATAGCTATTCCTGAATGTTTACTTGTAATGAATTTGTTATCATACACAGCACGTGCTCACATGAGTCACATCTACGACTCAAGTTTTTCAACAACATATTAGACTGATATTAATATAATCATATTAATAAATACATTTAATGAAATAAAATGAAATAAACAGATTTATACAAAATTCATTTCTTAACACACACACATATTTTAACTTACAGGGTCGTAACAATATACATAGTATTTTTCAGAAACTAGGCTGTCAAAATCTGACGAAAAAACAAATCTTGGGGAACAATTATGAACAATTATGAACCGCTGATTTCGACTGGTCAGTTTAAATTACCTTGGAAGTAATGTTGAATTTAAAGGTAAAGACCGAGCGTTTTCCTGCAAGAAGGACGAGCCTCCATTTGATTCCGGTGAAAAAACCAAAAGAATAGTGCTTTCCTCGTTAAAACAAGTAAAAGGGACCAGGTGGCTGTCGTGTAGGAAAGACAGTCTTTAGTGTTAAGACGCACAATTTCTGAAAAGAACAGCATAAAAGTACGCAATTTTTATTTCCATGTAATTTTCTATTTTTATTTGTCTTTTTTTATGCAAATGTGTTTTAT